TTCACTGAGTTACGCAAGCCCCTTCGCCACGACAAGGCAGTGATCCATGAAGGGGATTATTTACTGTACCATTTGCTAAAGTAGTATTAAAATTATTTTCATATAATAAATGTTTAGGGGTCAATGAACCATCTGAAACTTCATGAAGAGGCTGAGGAGTTTGGGGACCCCTGATCTAGGAGCCAGACTGGCATGTTGGTTGGTTGGCCCCTCTTTCTTTCAGCCTTTGGTTAATTACAGTAATCACATTGTAGTAAATCATGACAAACCCTCTTATTTAGTATAATGTGTTCCATGTTAAGCATTTTACTGAGGTTTGTTTCCTCTACTTATGACATGGCTTGTTCTGCTCTGCTTCTTTCTTCTTTCACAAGGGCAACCAAATAAAGATTGTCTGTCGATCATCTGAACCTCAGGAGCCATGGGGAACACCAGCAGCGAGCGTTCTGGAGTGGAGCGCCAGGGAGGCCATAAGACCCCTCGAAGAGACAGCCCTGGGGGAACAAAGGATGGAGACAGGCCCAAGATTCTGATGGACAGTCCGGAAGATGCTGACTTGTTCAATGCAGAAGAAATAAAAGTAGGTGAACTCTTGCTATATGAGAAGTATCCTATATTTTTTCTCATCCATATCTGGAAATGGCAGGGATTGTATGTGTTCTGCATGTTTCTAGTTTGAAGAACAGGAGGCTGGTGACACTTTTACTGCTGAAGAACCTGCTGGAAGCTTTTCATTTGGTTCAAATGATGTCTAGAAGCTATTGCATTTGAGATTTCTGTGTGTGTGTGTGTGTGTGTATGGATTTATTTCCCTTAAAGATGTACAATTCAGCATACTTTAGGGCTGAAAATATTAATGGATTTGATCAACCTTCTTCCCATACACTTTTTAAAAATATACTTGCACGAATAGGATTTTCTCTGGCACCCCAGATGTGACTTTTTTCCATTCCAGTATTCCTGGAAGGTAATGGGGTGTGTGTGAAGAGAATTAATAGCAAAGCAAAGTCTTGCCAACAGTGGGGAATGAAATGGGTAGGGAATGGGACTCCTTGAAGTACAAGCTGCTGCCTGATTGAAATTTCTTGGAAGCATTTTGAGTTTTATTCATTCACTTGAGCACTTTGGAACAGGCTGGAAGTTTGATTTTTCTCAGCTGCAGCTGTATGATTACTGCATGTTGATCTCACACCCCAAACAGTTTGACGAGACAGAGTATGAACCTCCAGACTGAAAGAATTGGCAAGTAGTTGGGAAGATGAGCAGTTAATGTATTTCTAAGTTGACCTTCTGCTGCTTAGGCGCTTGAGGCGGTTTATGAGAAGTTGTTAAAAGGTAAAATGGAAAAGCAGAAGCAGTTAAAAAAGGGTTGGACCAATTTATGAAAACCCTGGGGATCCATGGCTCTTAGCAGATGGCAGTGGGGCTGCCTCTGATGGCCGTTACTGGGAGACCCATGGGCTTCTTGGAGCAGTTGGCTGGCTACTGGGCAGACAAACTGGGGGGCTAGGTGAGCCAGGGGTCCCACCCAGCAGGGCACTGCTTAGGTTCTTAAAAGTAATGACCCACAGATTGTGCAATAAAATAGGACTTGTCTAGTTAAGAAAGTGACTGTAGTCCTTGAAAGCTTCACAAAACAATATTTTTTTCAGATGTTTTAAGACTGGTAGGAAGGAGGCCGAGCTGTTATCCCTAGAGAGAGAGAGAGAGAGAGAGAGAGAGGGAGAGAGGGAGAGTTCGGCCGACGGTGTGCAGATCTACAGAGGTCCCTCTCTCAAGTCCCTTCCATCTCCTCTCTAGGGGATGGGACATGCAGCAAGGCCGCGGCTCCAGCAATCTGTCACAAGCTACAGTCTCCCAGAACTATCATTGCAAGTTTCCTAAAGTCTGCTGTTTCTAGGCTCCGATGGAGAAAGACGAATTCCTGGCTTGGCAACATGATATGGAGGTGAATGACAAAGCTCCCACTCAAGCCCAGCCAACTGTATTCCGCTGGACTGGCGGAGGCAAGGAAGTTTATTTATCCGGCTCCTTTAACAACTGGAGCAAACTCCCACTGACCCGGAGGTAAGCTGTGAGTATGGAAATTTATATGCCGTTTTGGTAAGGCCAGTTGGAAGGACCCTGCAGCACCTTTTCACCCAAAGGGGAGCATGCAGAATGCTCAGCCTTCTTCTCAAAAGGCTGTGCTCAGTTTTCATTGTAGAAATCTAGCTTTTCCTCTGCTTATGCTAAAGCATGTCAGGAATTGCTCCTTTTACATTCTGCCTTTCCTCTAACTTGGGTCTGTCCCTTTATGGTTCCCGCAACTCTTTAAAACGGGCTCCACTGAAAGAGAAGGGACCTTCCCTCAGCCGTCTGCTTTAGCTCCCTGTGGCTGGTCACTGTTTAGGGCTCTGACAGAAACACTGCTGGGTTGGAAATCGGAAATGAAAATCTTCCAGTCTGTGTACGGAAAAAAGGAGGCGCTTTTCCATTACTCCTGAGCCAAGCCTGTCTCTCATTAGTTCCATATTTGGTAGTCCGGAGTTGAATCCAAAGGGTGTCATGGCCCAGGACTCAGGCACTGAATCTGAAGAAGCGGCTCCAGCTGAACCATTGGAATGTCAGCCTCAGGAAAAACCAAGCCAGGAATCCCCTGAGGCTGACATTCCACTGGTTCAGCTGGAGCCGCTTCTTCAGATTCAGAGCCTGAGTCCTGGGCCATGACAAGGGACTATTTAAAAAAAAATCCTTCAAGGATACTGTGGGATAGAAGATGGGAAATTTGAAGGATGTTTCACAACGTGGGGTGCCGTGAGGAGAGAGCCTTAGGCTGGCATCCTGCAGCATACTTGAGCACGGTCTCGTCTGATGTCTTGACTGCTGCTTGGAAGCGGTCGGCCAACCAGCACGAACAGTGGGACAGGCCATCCCATTTTGGAGCATATCGCAGGCCCTGCAAGTGGAGTTCCAACAATCTGGAGTTAGCATGGAGGCAGTCACTGCTGCGTGCTAAGGGTGTGCATATTAGGAAAGGGCAGGTTGTCTGAAAAATGGGGAAAGTGCAAATCTGTACACGATCTGTATGGCTTCTACCTTGATGATGTTCTGAAAGACCTTGAAGACCCAGGCCTTGGGGTAGGGTGGACGGGATTCCCCCCTTTGTGAGGCTTTACGTTTGCTGTGTTTCCAAACTTGCCTTCTCATGATGCTTTTGTAGTGCTTCTGTACTGTTCCGGTTAGGTTTTGTATTTTGTTGTGCTTGCGTTGTTCTATTGTCGTGAGCCACCCAGAGTCAGGTGACATCAGATTGAACTGAATGACTGAATTTGGTCTTTATGGTAACAGGCGGTATCCTTCCTCCATTTCACAGCCACAATAATTTTGTAGCAATCCTCGATCTTCCAGAAGGTGAACACCAGTACAAGTTCTACGTGGATGGTCAGTGGACTCACGATCCTTCAGAGGTGACACAATTTTATTCAGGCATCTGGTTCATTTCATGCCCTGGGAAAAATCTGATTTGATGCCTGGAGGCTGAGCATCCTTGCAGCTCTCCAGCTGTTGCTGGGCTAAAGTTTCTTGTAGTCATTTTGGCTGGGGAAATAGCAACTGTAGTCCAGCCACTTCTGAAAGGACGTTGGCTTCCCATCGTTTATTTATTCATAGCAAGAAATCTGTAACAGTCTGTTCATGTATGAAAGCTGTCATCTGATGGTGTTTCATAAAGTCACAAGGAAGCATGAACTGGGTCAAACAGTACCATTTTGTTCAGAAAAGTTGGCCTTGATTTTAAGAGACACCCGCCGCCCCAAAAGGAAGATTATTTTTGTCACCTTTTCCACATACTTAGCCATTTTGCCGTAGTGGTGAAGGCACCAAGCTAGAAAGCAGGAGACGGTGAGTTCTAGTCCTGCCTTAGGCTTGAAAGCCGGCTGGGTGACTTTGGGCCAGTCCCTCTCTCTCAGCCCAGCCCACCTCACAGGGCTGTTGTGGTGGGGAAAATAGGAAGAGGAAGGAGTATTTAAGTATGCTCGCCAGCTTGAGTTGTTTATAAAAAAAATAAAGGTGGGATAAAAAATCTAAAAACAAAAAAACCCTTAGTTTTATTTGGGGAGAAAAAGGTAGTACTCCCTTCAAGTAAATACAGGGCAACGTTCTGTTTGATCTAACAAACCATACCTCTCTTCCTAGCCTGTTGTCACCAGCCAGCTAGGGACTGTCAACAATGTTATTCAGGTGAAGAAAACAGACTTTGAAGTCTTCGATGCTTTAATGGTGGATTCCCAAAAGTGCTCCGACGTGTCCGGTAGGTAGCATGGGCAAGAATCTGAAAAGGAAGCGAGGACCACACTTCTGTGCATCTTCAAAGGTGCTGACGCTCTCCTGTCCGTAATGGCAAGTCTGTCTGACCTTACCCTCACATTAGCGTTAAAGACATTTCACTGAAGTACATGTGGTCCTTCCTTCCTGTATCTCGCTTGACACTATCCAGGGCAAAGGGTTGCTTAATCTTGGGGATGGGGAGTCTTTGGTAGCCAAGGTCTCTCAATTTTGGGGGAGCTGAGGGCCACAAACTGGGTGAGGTAAGGATCTTTCTTTTTAACAGTGATGTGCCTGTTTTAAGGCTTACACTTTTCCCAAGTTTTCCCTCCACAGACTAGAGGGGAAACTGCACCATCACTTCTCAGCCATCATATCAGTGGGGCTATGCCAGTGTTTCTCAACCTTGGCAACTTTAAGCTGCGTGGACTTCAACTCCCAGAATTCCCCAGCCAGCATGGCTGTTGCGTGTTGCCCCTTCCCACCACCGTGGGTTGGTACAAGGTGTTTAACCATGGTTACGCTATCAGCTCACAGAGATCCTAAACCAGTGTCTCTCAACCTCAGCAACTTTAAGGTGTGTGGACTTCAACTCCCAGAATTCCCCAGCCAGCATGGCTGTTGCGTGTTGCCCCTTCCCACCACCGCGGGTTGGTACAAGGGGTTTCACCATGGCTACGCCATCAGCTCACAGAGATCCTAAACCAGTGTCTCTCAACCTCAGCAACTTTAAGGTGTGTGGACTTCAACTCCCAGAATTCCCCAGCCAGCATGGGGAATTAAAGTTGCTGAGGTTGAGAAACACTGGGCTACACAAAGGGAATATAAGTTGCCCGCCCTAGAAGATTCTGAGTGATAGGAATAGCTTTGCTGGCAGCTTCTGAAGAGGAAATTCCAATAGCCTCGGTGCCTGGTGATGCAGCAACCGTGATCTAACGTTAAGGACATTTTGTTCTTTTAGGTTTCTCTCTTCTCTGGAGCAATTGTATCATTTGCACTGTGCCTGTAAGGTGGTAGGATTCATCCTATGGGAGATGTTTTGAATCTTCTGCAACCACCTCAAGGCCTTTGTTTTTGGTCTCCTTGTCAGTGAACCCTGAACCGGACAAAGGCCTTGCTTAAATTCTGCTCATTGTTTTGTAGACTTTTTAACCTCTTCATTATTTTGACCTGATTGTAGACTGCTAGTACAAAAAGAAAAAAAAAAGTGGGGAAATAAAGTGTTGCCAAAATGGGACATAATTGATAATACTTGATTTTCTCCCTCTCTTATAGGCAAGTTATTTAATATGATCTCTGTACTGTCCCTGCTGTAAGAATTTGGGTGGCTCATGTACATAAGACATCATAAAATTTCAGAATCATTAAAATAATCTAGTATGTTCCCTTTTTCTCTTTCTCTCCTCCTCCCCACTGCCCCGGTAGAATTGTCAAGCTCACCACCTGGACCGTATCACCAGGACCCATACATCATTAAGCCTGAAGAGAGGTTCAAGTCCCCCCCCATTCTTCCTCCCCACCTACTGCAAGTCATCCTGAACAAAGACACTGGAATTTCCGTAAGTAGAGAAACACCGGCTTTAGGAGCAGGCCAAAAGTGTAGCCCTGCTGCCCGAAGTTGGCATTCTCCAGTTGGGTTGAGACTACAGCTCCCAGAATTCTCTAGGGCACGAACTGGGGAAGCATATGCTAAGCGTTTGTGGTGGGTAAGCTACTTCAAATAGGAACCCTGGCTTTATCACCTACTTACATGGGCTTCTCTTCGAGGTGCTTTCCCCCTTGAAACTGGAGATGAGTTAGTCCTTGAAGCCCCCTTCATAAACCGATGACCCTGTTTTTCTAACAGCTCCTTAATACTTGGGGCGGGGAGGAAGAAACCCTGGCATCTGGCAGGGAGAATGTTTGGTGAACAGGGGGCCTCTGAGGTTAACTCCTAACCAAAAGGTCTTGCCCCTTACAGTGCGATCCTGCCCTGCTTCCTGAACCAAATCACGTCATGCTGAATCACCTCTACGCACTGTCCATCAAGGTAAGAGAGGCTCACTCTAGGCAGCAGGGTTCCTCTTGGCTGCTTCATCTTCTGAACGGTCCCCCTCTTTCCTCTTTCTAGGACGGAGTGATGGTTCTGAGTGCCACCCACCGTTACAAGAAGAAATATGTGACAACGTTGCTATACAAGCCCATATGAAGGAGGGAAAGGAAAGTGGACTGGCCAAAGAGCAGCGGAATCGCAACCCAAATTATCCCCCCCAAGGCAGCAGCACCCTTGCTGTTAAACTGTAAAAAAAAGAGCCCCACGTGGTTGAATTGGTGCCTTGCTGGCCCTCTCCTTTCCTCTTCTTCTGATCAAGACAGGCTGGCTCTGGGTTTGTCAATGAAGCAGTAAGCTTCTTCCTGCTAATTCCTAGCTGCCTGCAGGGAAAAAATGAAGGGCAGCCAAACTATGCAGTGCAGTTAGCCTTGGAAATGAAACAAATTCTTCAGCACATCCCACACACAAGCCAGAAGACTGCTGCTGGAATGGAGGGGGAGGGGGCTTGAATTGGTTGTTCCTGAAAGTGGCTTACTTGTGTAATCCTAAATTATTGTGTCGCTTTCCAGCCAAACCTGTCCTGTCTGCCATTTCACGTTTTCAGTTAATGATCACAGTAGCAATAAGGACCAAAGAGGGGGAGACTGCCCACTCTCTCCAGTGGTGCTTTTAGCCAAGTAAACATCGATGGTTTTGTAACTGCCTGGGTCCTCAGCAATCAAAGCAGCTTGTTCCTTGGAATAATCAATGGCAGCATCCACTCCGGAAGCAGCAGCTTACGTCCGCCTGCCTTGTAGTTGGTATTTACCCTGTTCAGAAATTAGTTTTAATAAATAAAGTAACAGTGGAAAAGAGTCTACGTGTTTGTTTTGTCTGCCTCCAGAGTTGAAAGTTTGATTGCTTGACCTCCAGAGTTTGACTCTTTTACCCTCATGTTGATAGTTTGACATTTTCTAAGGTATGGCCAAGACAAAGATGATGGAGGGGGAGATACTTCCCAATCCATGGGACTAAGTGAATTAATCTTCCCTCCCCTAGATAAGCAAAGGCAATTTGGCTGTTTTCTAGGCCGGGGATTTAGGCTGAAAGGAAGCAAGAAGCGTGGGAATTGCCGGGTGGAATTTCAAAGGCCAGAAGGTGAACTAAAGGAAGCCGGACTGGGATAAGGACGCAGAGAAGGCCTTTGCTACGTCGGTCTGCACCCGGTGCTTCCAGAGGGCAAGATAATTGAAATACAGCCAGGATATGTATTGGGAAAGGGTGAGAGATTACAAATCTCATGGACAGGACCAAAGCAAATTCATCTTCAATAAGTATATTTTTTGCGCACATTAAAAGAAAAATAAGGAACATTTGTAAACAAGCTTGCAGTTCATTTATACATTCAAGATTAGGCACAACAGAAGTCAAAGCAGCAGTTTGGTTCTTTAATGGAAAGAGCATCACTGAGCAGTAGGTCGATCCGAAGGGGGTCCTTACTGGTCATCTGCCCACAGCAGGCCAGTATGGGTGGCTGGGCAGACAATGGGAAAGGAGCCATCCTGGAACTCCTTGAAGCTGACTGCTTGCGTTAGGCAGACACACACGCACGCTCCCTGTAGAAGAAACCCCATCAGACCCTATATAAACTGGCTTTGTTTAAAAATAGAGCTATGTACATTGTAGTCTGAGCTTGCATCCTCTCCCCGAGTGTTACTTGTTTCTGAGGTGCACGTCTTGAATTGTGTCGGAAGTTTGGAAAAACTGAAGCACCAGATAAGGCATGGGGGAGGTCAGGGAACCGTTGCCTTGGGCCCTGCTGCCAGAGCTCGTCTGCTGGGAGAGAAGATGTCTGGTATTTCAAATCGACAGCTTAATCGTGGGGCAACGGGTGGCAGGAAGCTGGCAGGATCGCCCACCTTGCTATAACGGAGAAGGCAGGGCACCTTGCCCTGTGCCTCACTGAGCAACAGCGCCTGCAGCTGACCCCTCGCCGAGCAACTTTTGAGAAATGACAATTGCGTTCAAAAACTCTTATCTCACCGCCTTCTTCCCAGTGCGGCTGTCGGGAAGGGAAAATTACTGCGCATTGAAGTGGATGTTTTTTAAAAGGCAGTGGTGACTTAGGAAGACTCTAGGACAAGGTTGGAAAACATTCCTGCCGGAAGGAAAAGCCCATTGCACCATGCCAGGCAGTAGAGTGAATTGGTTTTTATTTGGTTATTGTTTCAACAACAAGTTCCATACTTTCCAGGTGAAGTGTGTGAGTTACTCCTTTTCCTCGTCTGCGATAATAAAAAGGTGATGAAGACAACTCCTATTCTGTCGGAACGCCTACAGGCTTCGTTACGCTACCAAGCTTCGGCTTGCCAAAAGAACGCGACGATATTTCGTCGTCGGAACCTGGCTGATTCGAGAGCGGCTCTTCAGGGCAACAGGAGGCCCCTTCAAAACAAAGGGCTGGTGGTTGAAAAAAACCGCACACTTTACAATAAAAAAGTAGAAACTGATTTGATTCCTTTTTTTTTTTTTTTTTTTTACGAATATAAAGTTTCTTGTAAATATGTACAGTCTTTTGAGCTATTCTATAGCAGGAAGCATTTCACAAACAAGACACGAGATAGACACTTTCAGGACTCGACAAGCCGAGTTTTCAGGTAATGAGGGGTTATTAGTATTAGTATTATTGTTAGTTTTCCCCATGAGATGCAAAGACCTTAAATTGTTAAATAGCTTCCAGGACCCCCAGAGACGGAAATCCCCGCACGTTTCCTGACAAATCGCCGGATAATGCCATCAGCCTCACCCTGTTATCCACAACACCCCCCCGAAGGGCACCGATGAAGCAAGAGAGATGGAGGCCCCTCTCGTAGGGCAGCACGAGGTGACAAAAGGAACCAGCAGAGGCACCTGGATTTGCTCTTGCCAGCTTGGAAAAAAACAGAGCGAAAGCAAATAACGGCCCCAAACAGTTCTGTTTGAGCTCAGCGGTAGCTGAGAATGAGAAGCAAGACGGGGCCGTCGTGGCAAAAAATAGCCACAGCTGTTTCATTGCCCACATTCTTCACCCATGCAAGGGGGGCAGTGCCCCGCCCTGTACCTTTCCTCACTCTTTCTGGCCACGGGTACAGCTTTCCTGCTCTCGCTCTGTTCTGCAGCGGTCCCTTCTTCGAGGCAGCGCTGGGTGCTCCTAACGCCACTGGGGCAAGGCAGCGTCTCCTCCGCTTGGCCGTTCGCCGGCATCGCGCTCGGCTGCTGGGCAGAATCCTGCCTGAGCCGGCCCGGATGCCATCCCGCCTGGTCACGCTCCGTCGCAGTGGTGGAATCGAGAACCGTCACATTTCCTCCTTCAGTGCCACTTTCCCCAGTAAACAATGGTAGTTCTTGGTTGCAGCATCATCTTAGAAAGGCTTCGGTATTTTAACACGGGAAATACGAGATACAATATCGAGCAAAGCAACTGAAAAGGAGGCTGCAGTCGAGATGATGGCGGTGCGGGAAGCATGCAGGAAATTGCCATGCAGGAAGCCTGGGTGAGGGTGGCGTTGTGTGAGCGGGGGCAGTTTATGCCCTAGGAGTGTTTTAATGCAGAGGGTGAGAGGCCTGCGGACACGTTTCTTGTATGGTCGAGGGATGCTGAGGGATCATTAAAATGATATTCCTTCCCTGTAACCCAGCAGACTACAGAGCTGCACTTACAGCTACGTTTTTGTTTTAATTTGTATTTGGAATGGTAAACTCTGAAAAGACTCTGGGAAGCGACCGATTAACTCAATTGCCCGGGATTTCTCTAAAGCTGTGCAGCAGAAGGGAATGACACTGGGTAAGAGACAGAGACACCGGACCATTGCTGGTTACAAGGCTTTTCCCAAAATGCTGACAGCCACATTTTTTTCAGACTTGGGCAGAAGCCCCATCCCATCGGACTATCGACGGGGCAGGTAAAAGCGAAATAGAAAAATCTATGAACTGCTTTGAAAGAAGCAGTAATACAAAGTGCCCCCCGAGGGACTGGGGTGGAAGAAAGAGAAAGGAGACCCAAGTGCAGGAGTAGTAAGGAAAGATCTACCGAAACACAAGCAGATCCTTGCAACTAACTTTAGTCCTGGTGGATTAAATGTTGTTGCCAGAATGAGTTTGGGCCCAGTACTGTTAGTTAGGGAAATGGGTGGTTAACTCAGAAGTGCACCTAATTCAGGACATTTTCTTGTTCTTTCTGGAGTTCAGGGTCAAGGGGGGAGGCTTGTGTCGCTTATACTGAAGATTGGTCCCAGACCTGTTGAGGAGAAGGGGAAAAACGGCACATTAACTTCAGGAGGGGGACCTTGTCCCCAAAATTCTAGAATCGCTGTTGTCGGCACTGGCCGACTGAGACGCGCAGAGCTCTTCGGAAGAACAGCGCTCTTTCTGTATCTCCTCTTTTTGCGGATGAGATTGCTCAGATTTACTCAATCTTCCTGGAACTTAAAGCCATCTCTGGAAGATGTTTTTTTCTGGCGGTAGGACAGTATCACCCTTTGAGATTTAATCTCAGGTGATTTTTCCCAGTGGCCGAGGGCGTAGAGGAACCATTTCTCCCCCGCAAGTAGGGTGGGAGGTTTTAGGCACGTCCCCATCACGGCTTACCTTGTTGACTTGGGAGAGGGGAGTCCTGGCGCCTCCCACTTGAATTCGTCCCCTGCTGCTCTCCTCAAACAGTCTCCCCGGGGACCTCTCTCGGCGGGTGCTCAGGACCCGTCCTGGAGACTTCTCCCTCTCCAGGGGACGCCCAGGAGACTTGTCCCTACGGAGCTCCGTCCTTCCTTCCCGATAGCGATGGGGTGTGCTTGGCTCGCGAGGGTGGCTTGGGCCTTCTGGAGGTCCCGGGCTTGAGGCTACCCGCTTGGTTATGTGCTCGTTATACGTTGGTGGACCTCTCTTGTTCGGGCTGCTGTCATTCAAAAACAATGGAGGTGGACAGCTGAGTGACAAAAACCTTCTGGTTACCTCTTTATTCACAGCACGCGAGCTCCCCAAGCCTTCCCCTGCTCCACCAACCCATTTCACATACGGTGCATGCAGTAAACTAAGGTGCTGTTCCCATGAAGACCCTGCTGCAGCACACGCAGGGTGCTGCAACAAGCCAATCTTTGTCACAAACCTGTGGCTGGTGCCCAGCCCACCCAGGAACTAGCCTGATTCCACTTCATGCCCCATCCACCCCCAGATGCAGCTCCCCAAGTCCTTATTTTGTCATCCTGCCTCTCCCATCCCACCCCAGCCCTCCTAATCACTCCACCACACTGCAGAGCCTGTCAGGCCCCCTTCCTTAGCTAGGAATGGGCTCTCTGTCGTGGCTGGACCATCGCCTCCTACCTGCGGGTGGTAGAGGACCCTCGGTGATGCTCGTTGTTTGATTCTTTCACCAAGTTCCCCTTGCAGCAAATCACTCTCAACTTGTCCTGGTAGGAAGAGGCCAGGTAAATGGCTCCAGAGGAAATAGCTGGGCCTAGGTAGCGAGGGCTTGGGATGTCCAAGTGGGCTCGGGCTGGAATGCTGGGGGCCAAACAGGAGGCACAGGAGAGAAAGGAGGTCTTTAGATGGGGATCAGGCCTGGCCCGAAAGGCTTCGGAGCAGCCTGGCCCCTGCGGTCACCAAAGGCCGACACTTACCCAAGGGAGGCACGTGCTTGAATTTCGATCACCTCGAGGGAGTTGAAGTGGGTCACAAACAGATACGGTTCCCTATAGGCTACAGCAGTGCCCAGAAGAGAGAAGCCACGTTAGAGAAAGTCATCAGGGACAGAATATTTTCTATCCAGCTCCAAGTTAAAAAGCAGACAAGTATTTTGCTCTCTGGGGCTTGCAGAGGGAATTAGTAATTTTTTTTATCAGGGGGGAGCCCATCCCCTTAGCAAGGCAGAGACGCCCAAAGTGAATTACTGGTTCAGCTGCTGGGGACTTTCTGCTCTCTCAGATCACAATTCCTTCAACTCCTGGTCTGGAAAGAAAAAAATAAAGCCTAAAATTGCCTGGGAAAAAGGCAGGGAAGAGCAGCAGGGCACTCTGATGAATCTCCTTTTTGATCCCTTGGCATGAAACTGACTTGGTCCCATGCCAACGTCCTCCAGAAGCAGTTTGGTGAGCCCAAATGGCGGGGAAGGTTTCCAGAACTCGACTAACGAGGAAGCCAGGTAAAAGGGCAGATCTCACAGCCCTTCTTCCCCACTCCCCCGCCCTTTGGAACACTCACTCCAGCACTGGGATAATTAGCAAGAAGAAAATTAATCTTTGTATTTACACTCATTGGAGAGGAAGGGATTACAAGAGAGTAAGCAGGCACACAGTGGGGAATACACATAGAAAGGAATGCGCTAGCGCCAGCTGTTTGCCTAGCACGCTCACGGCTATGAGCCACCAGCTGCTTAGGAGGCAAACAAAAGCCTTCAGTGTGAAACTGATTTGGATCTTGTCAGTGTCAGGCAGCATCCCCTTAGCACTTTTTAGGGATGTGCTGCGCTTTGGAGAAAAGCAGCTCAGGAAGAGACAGCTTGTTTAGG